AATACCTACCTATTATATGTCATCTGACCTATCTATGAAGTTTTGACTGGTTAATTTGATTTTTTTTCTGTTTCCTGTCTTGTATTTAAGCAATTTTTACAATGTTTTACTATGACCCTGATGAAGGCCACAAGCCGAAACGCGTTGGTCAATTATTAAAGTTGTTCTTCTACCTCAAGTGTTGCTGGAGTTCCTGCTTCATGGTAGAATAAGCAAACAGAGATGGACCCGACTCATGCTTAGCCAGTGGTTGTTCTGCCACCATGTTACCACACATGTGAGGGTGTGGAGTGTGAGTTTACCACACAGTGGCTTCTGTGGGTAGCTCATGTTTTGCACCCCTGATGGGATAGGGGTGAGCTTGGCAAACACAAGGTGTCAGTGCATTTTCACATGCTGCTCAAAGCAGGTGGTCTTTTCCCTGACATTTGCAGGTTATGGTTACGTTAGATTGGTTACATCATTGGGATACTTTCTCACATTGCAGCTAAACTGGAACAGGAATGACTTGGCACATGGGGTGTGTGTTTTTAGTAGAGTACTGTATGGAAAATTTTAGGTCTATGGCAACCTGCTAGCAACATGGTTGCTAGTAAGTATGAATACTTTCTGACCCCTTTATGCACATTTTCTATCAATGGCTAATTGGCAGAATTTGCTAGAGGGAGTTACCCACAGTTACCCTTAAGTGGCTTGGCTGTGAAGAAAGTCCCAGCATTGTTATGGTACCATTAGTGCAGCCTCCTTGCTATTTATACCATTGCACCCCGTTGCAAGGGCCTGCCTTTATCAGGAAGAAGAAATTAAAAGTTAATGTTGTCGATTACAAGCTGATAAAAAATCAGATTGGGTTCTTTTTCCCAGAGAAATGTTTCTTTACAAAATTAAAATGATCACAGTCTGCTTTCTCTAGGATACGGTGGAGATCCAACACACTTCAAAAACCACTCTGTGATGATTAAACCAATCTTCAGACAAGTTATGAAAAAAGAGACGATGAAGTTATTTTAATAGAATGACTCGCCAAGGCATCAGAGTTAGCCTCCTGGTGCTTCTAGTGTTAATATTGATGCAAAGAGCTCACAGTCAATAGTTATTGATCAGCACAAACATTTATGTCATTTATATGAAATGCTATGAAATCTATATTGAAATGACTTTGGAGATGAAGAGCATAGGTGTAAACATCATCATCCTGGTAAAGGATACTTCAGAAAAACACATGTTTAAGAAGCTAACAACTTGAGTCGCTCCTCATGTTTGTGTAACATAAGAAGGAGAAAATAGAGACATTCTTCACATCACAGCATGTTTGAGTTTCTTTCTCTTGTTTAAAACCAATATTTTAATGTTAGTAGGCGAGATGGATAGGGCAAAACAGACATGCTAGCTATCTATCTATCTATCCATCCATCCATCCATCCATCCATCCATCCATCCATCCATCCATCCATCCATCCATCCATCCATCCATCCGGCCTTAGCACATGAGAGTGGTTGCTGGAATTTCCTAAGTTTCCTAAGTTTCATAGCATGTGTTTTAGGAGTGTTGGCCTCTTTCACACGTTCCCTGTTGCTGCTTAGGACACTTTTACAGTGAAGAGGGATTTAAGATAATTTATCCTTCAAATATTTCAGATTATTCACATTTATTGGATGCCTTCATTAAAAAGCTTAAAATTTTCTCTAAAAATGTATTTTTTCTCTTTTTTCTGCACGTGATATGCTCGTTTATTGTCTTGTTCTTTCATGCAACATCTACTAGTTATCTTCTGTCTAAAATGAGGCAGCTAGCTGTGGGTTTTATTCATGGTTCCTTCACTTATTAGGAACCAAAGCAGCCTCAAACCCCGATGCTCCCTCCACTCTTCTTTAAATTTGTGGTGATATTTTGTTGTTGGTGTGCAGTTTGATTTTGGCAGCACAGATTTCTTTGGTGGCGCTGCCTGTAATCCATTACTGATTACTCATTGTGTTCAAGAAAGACAGTGGTTGTTTCTGTAAAGTGGAGATTCTGTGTGTTATTAGCTTTGTCAGATTGTGTGCTTCGTTGTTATGACTTCGATGAAACTCAGAACAGTTTTATTAATAATCGATGCAGAAATCCTGACAACTCTAAAAGATTTACTTTTTCTTGCAACTGTATGTTGCAGTTCTATTGTTTTATGTCTGTTCAACTTCCTGTGATAGCCACAGGAGTAGAGAGTGCCTGACTGGATCATTTTACGATGATTGAAATGCAAATGACAGACTGCGGCTTCATTGATATTCATAAGACGTATCTCATATAATCATTACGAGTCAGAACAATGTTCAGAATCTCCTGTGTGCTTCTATCAAGGAGAGCTATGGATGCATGCTCTGTATTCAGCTCGAGCCATCTGAAGGACTTTTTTGAAAAACACAAACACACCCTATCCCCCAAACACACATCATAAAATGCCCCATTACTGCAAGTAATATAAACTCTGCCAATTTATCACACACACACACACACACACACACACGGGAAAAAGGAAAAACAAGCATATACCCTCAGTTAAGAATGAGAAACAATTTCATTTCATTTGCTGCATTCATGCTTTTACTGTTTGGTGACTCCTGCGCTGCCATGCGAGGCAGCTTGAACATAACAGGAGCCAGTGATGTACAGCCTGCGGGTGTAGTCAAACAACTGCTCACTAAAATCAATACATCTTCTGTTAAATATATGCTGTATATATGCAGTTATATAATCTTGCCCATTTTCAAAGGCATATAGCTTATTTCACACAATTTTCATTAACAAGACTTTTAAATGAGTCGAAACTTGCTTTTTCCTTATTATTTACATGCAAACATGTATAATGTTTTTATTTATGGGTTCCCTGTGTTAAGTAACCCGTAGTGGCTTGAAAAGCCAAAATTGTATTAATTCATCCATCAGTAGTTTTCTGCATGCACTGATGAAGACATAACACTATGGTTCTTTTGTGGTGGAGGATTTATTGCCCTTGGGAACTTGTAGAGCAATGTAGTGGAAGACCATGGTGGTCTGGTAATTCCTAGAGCTCTGGGGGAGGAAGGAAGTACAGGTGTAGGAGTTGGAATGCTCATTTGTGTACATTAGATGTTCTGGAGGAGGACAGACATTTGTTCAGAACTCTTAAAGATGTCGAAGAAGCTCCGTAAGCAATTACTTTGGTGTTCCTCCACCGCAAAAGAAGCATGTATTCTCTGAATTTCAGGGAATACTTTTATTTTGATAGTGAATGTGCACCTGCGGACCACTTATGTGCAGCCCTGACTATAAATCATGTATGTT